CAATATATAAATATACATATGTATTTGTTTTATCTACCAATGCGCCCCTAACAACGTCAATAATGTTCATGTGTCCCTTAGACATAAAAAGGAATACGCCAAAATCCCTATTTATTTATAATATTGATTGTGGATATTTGTTATAGAATTTGTAGTAATAAAATGACAAAGTGTTGCCTTTTATTGACAGTCCGTAATTTAAGTTGACAGCAGCAGCAGTGTTGATAGTTTTTGTTGTTAATAAAAAAAAAAAACAAGTTAAAATGTGATGAAAGGATAAGATAAATTGAAATTGAAAAAGGGTTTTTTTGAATTAAAAGTTGTTTTGTGCACAAAAAGCAAAAAAACACCCAAGCATGTATTCCTAGGGAACGAAACAGAAAGAACAAACTTTAAAACCAGAAAAACAAATTAGTGTTTTCGATAAAAGAAAAAAAATTACGAAACTACTTTTTTTAAAAATAAAAATTGAATCTGTTTTGTAGCATTGACATGAATTGGCTATTTTGGTTACGAATTTGTTAACTCTCACTCTTTTGCTACCACACTCATTCATACCAAAAACGCTCATACAGACATTTTTAAAATGAACAAAATATAATCCAGTGATGGTGAATACGATTGAAAGGTACTTTTAGCCATAATAGTACCTGCGTAAACTGAACTCTGAATTCTATACTATATTCTGCACTATAGTCAAGTCTATAGTTCGGACGACAGTATAGTCTATAGCCTGGAAGATAGTATAGTATATAGTCTGGACTATAGTCTGTATAGTCTGTACTATAGACTAGTCTATACTATAGTCAAGTCTATAGACTAGACTATGGTCCAAGCCATAGACTATAGACTAGACTATAGTCCAGACTATAGACTAGACTATAGTTCAGACTATAGACTAGACTATAGTCCAGACTATAGACTAGACTATAGTCCAGACTATAGACTAGACTATAGTCCAGACTATAGACTATACTATAGTCCAGACTATAGACTAGACTATAGTCCAGACTATAGTCCAGACTATAAACTAGACTATATTCCAGACTATAGACTAGACTGTAGTCCAGACTATAGACTAGACTATAGTCCAGACTACAGACTAGACTATAGTCCAGACTACAGACTAGACTTTAGTCCAGACTATAGACTAGACTATAGTCCAGACTATAGACCAGACTATAGACTAGACTATAGTCCAGACTATAGACTAGAATATAGACTAGACTATAGTCCAGAATATAGACTAGACTATGGTCCAGACTATAAACTAGACTATAGTCCAGACTATAGACTAGAGCATAGTCCAGACTATATACGAGACTATAATCCAGACTATAGACAAAACTATAGTCCAGATTATAGACTATACTATAGTCCAGACTATAGACTAGACTATAGTCCAGACTATAGACTAGACCAAAGTCCAGTCTATAGACTAGACTATAGTCCAGACTATAGACTAGACTATAGTCCAGACTATAGACTAGACTATAGTCCAGACTATAGACTAGACTATAGTCCAGACTATAGACTAGACTATAGTCCAGACTAGACTAGACTAGACTATAGTCCAGACTATACTACTCTATTCCAGACTATAGACTAGACTCTAGTCCAGACTATAGACTAGACTCTAGTCCAGACTATAGACTAGACTCTAGTCCAGACTATAGACTAGACTATATACTAGACTATAGACTAGACTATAGTCCAGATTATAGACCAGAATATAGACTAGAGTATAGTTCAGACTATAGACTAGACTATTGTCCAAACTATAGACTAGACTATAGTCCAGACTGTAGACTAGACTATAGTCCAGAATATAGACTAGACTATAGTCAAGACTATAGACTACACTATATAGTCCAGACTATAGACCAGACTATAGACAAGACTATAATCCAGACTATAGACAAGACTATAATCCAGTATAGTCTGGACTATAATCCAAACTATAGACTAGACTATAGAACAGCCTATGGTTTAGGCTATAGTCCAGACTATAGTTTAGGCTATAGTTCAGGCTATAGTATAAACTATAGTCTAGTCAATATGCTGGCCTACAGTCTAGTCTGTATACACGTCTACAGTCTGGACCATAGTCTAGTTTAGACTAAAGTCTGGACTATACTCTTATAGTTCCTACATTTCAGCTATTAAATGTTCAGAGGAAAGTACAATTTTTAACCATGTTTATCTCATCTCTGCTACTTACAACTTTGTAGATACATTCATACATTTGTATGTGTGGGTTTGGTAGTTTATTTGCTAGATATTTATTTACTACTACACACTCTCGAACAGCAACCACATAGCTTCCACACAAACGTACATTAGGCAGGTCCAGTATTGGTCAAAATTTCTCATCGAAATTTATTTTTTAACTAAGAAAGCTGAAAATGATCCTGTATGATAAAATTTTCAAAGATTGCCCTAGTATTTTATGTATGTATCCGCGTGTGTGTGTATTCATATTAAAGTTGTTTTAGTTTTTTTTTTTTTTTTGCAACAAGGATATGCAAAACACGTAGTATTCATGTCGAACATGTTCAAATTGCAATGTGTTAGTATTGTTGTACGTGTTATACAGAGTACATTTAAGGATGTGTTTGGTTAGGTGTATTTATACACAATATTGTTTGGTTGTATGCTTTTGTGTAAGGCCATGGTGTTTAGTATGCATGTAGTAGCACCATTTGTTGCCTCAACTGCTGCAACACGTTCTATGTTTTTTTTTTTCTCTCAACCAAAGTAGTTCCCCCTTTTTTAACTAAACGGGATAAGAGTTTTTATGCAATACAATCCAATAAAATAGAAAATTAATCACATTTAACTCGAAATAATGAAAAAAAAAAACAGTTTTGTTAAACAACAAAATAAAACATTGAATAGTAAATTGATTCTTTTTTTTTTTTTTTTTTGGCTAAATGGCACGCAATTTTGAGAATTTGGAGGGTGGGGTATGCAGCTTCAAAAACTGACCAAAAACATAATTTTGCACGTATAATTGCGGTCAATGGAAAAACATCAAACTCATCTGTATATTGTGTTGTTGTCATATATAAAACCACAATGATTATGATTATTAGTTGTCATTTATTGAATTGCATTTAAATGCAGTGATTGTGTCAGTTGAGTGGTTTTAGTTGGATAAATTCATGGACATACATATACATACATATAAATGTTAGAATGCTGCACAAATTTAATGAGAGGGAATATAATTAGAAAATTTTAGAATTTAAAGCACGAAACATATTGAGGACTACTTACACTCTGGACTATAGTCTATAGTCTGCGCTATAGTCCATAATCAGGACTATAGTCAATAGTCCTGACTATAGTCTATAGTCTGGACTGTAGTCTATAGTCTGGACTATAGTCTATAGTCTGGACTGTAGTCTATAGTCTGGACTATAGTCTAGACTCTAGTATATAGTCTGGACTATAGTCTATAGTCTGGACTGTGGTTTATAGTCTGGACTGTAGTTTATAGTCTGGACTATAACCTATAGTCTGGACTATAGTCTATAGTCTAGACTATAGTCTATAGTCTGGATTATAGTCTATAGTATGGACTATAGTCTATAGTCTGCACTATAGTCTATAGTCTGGACTATAGTCTATAGTCTGGACTATAGTCTATAGTCTGCACTATAGTCTATAGTCTGGACTATAGTCTATAGTCTGCACTATAGTCCATAGTCTGGACTATAGTCAATAGTCTGGACTATAGTCTATAGTCTGAACTATAGTATATTGTCTGGACTGTAGTCTATAGTCTGAACTTTAATCTATAGTCTGGACTATAGTCTATAGTCTGGACTGTAGTTTATAGTCTGGACTATAATCTATAGTCTATAGTCTGGATTATAGTCTATAGTCTGCAATATAGTCTATAGTCTGGACTATAGTCTATAGTATGGACTATAGTCTATAGTCTGGACTATAGTCTAGACTATAGTCTATAGTCTGGACTATAGTCTATAGTCTGGACTATAGTCTATAGTCTGGACTATAGTCTATAGTCTGCGCTATAGTCCATAGTCTGGACTATAGTCAATAGTCTGGACTATAGTCTACAGTCTGAACTATAGTATATTGTCTGGACTATAGTATATTGTCGGGACTGTAGACTATAGTCTGAACTATAATCTATAGTCTGGACTATAGTCTATACTCTGCACTATAGTCTATAGTCTGAACTATAGTCTATAGTCTGGACTATAGTCTTTAGTCTGGACTATAGTCTATAGCCTGCACTAAAGTCTATAGTCTGGACTCTAGTCTATAGTCTGGACAATAGTCGATAGTCTGGACCACAGTCTATAGTCTGGATTATAGTCTTTAGTCTGGACTAAATTCTATAGACTGGACTATAGTCTATAGTCTGGATTATAGTCTATAGTCTGGACTAAATTCTATAGACTGGACTATAGTCTATAGTCTGGACTATAGTCTATTGTCTAGACTGTAGTCCATAGTCTGGACTATAGTCTATAGCCTGGACTCTAGGCTATAGTCTGGACTATAGTCTAAAGCCTGGACTATAGTCTGTAGTCTGGACTATAGTCTGGACTATAGTCTATAGTCTGGACTATAGTCTATAGTCTGGACTATAGTCTATAGCCTGAACTCTAGTCTATAGCCTGAACTCTAGTCTATAGTCTGGACTCTAGTCCATAGTCTGGGCTATATAATATTGTGTGGTCTGTTGTCTCGACTATATTATAAAATTAGACATAAAAACAACATTTTATCAAACATTAATATGTAATTAATTCAACAATTACAATATTTGCATTCAAATTAAACATAAATATAAATAATAATTACCAAATCTAAATAAAACAATTTGAAATTAAAAACATAAATTACCGCAAACAGTTTAATGTCAAATTCATAAACATTAAATTTCTATTTAAAACTAAAATTTTTAATTTGTTTTAATTAAACATAACAAATTCACACTTCTCTTTCTTTCAATTTTGCAGGTTTTCTTGGTAGTTTTCTATCAAAAGGTTTAAAAACTAATCAATTGGAAGTGAATACCGATGAGAAAACCTTACGACCCATAGCACGTCTCAAAGAGCCACGTGATCTCTTTGCTCTGCCAAAAGATAAGGACAATGATTGTTCACAGCAGGCCCCTAGATGGCCTATTGAATGTCAGGTAAGTTACTGAACAGAAAACAAACATAAATAAATAACAATAAATAAAAGAAAATAGAAACAACAAAACCACAAAAATTCAATAACAACAGAACAGAGCACAAGAGCAGCCATCAAACAAATTTGAATTATTGTCAGTTTCACAAACACTCTAGTTGGGAAAATGAAAGGTGAAAAAATAATCATGTTATAGGTAAATGATTTACGCACCAATGCAAAATGTTAGGAATACACAGCCTTCATGTTGTAAAAAACCAATATCTACAACTAAATGTAATTTACATTCCTAACATTTTTACGTATTGACGTTGCCAAACATTAGGTTTTATTTGTGTGTGTGTGTTTTTCTGTGATACCTTTTAATATTTGTGTAAGCTTACTAAAGTACCCAAGCGTTACATTGGAACAGTGGAACTGACCTCCTATTGGCATTTTGAACTTTTTGGTTTATTTAGAGCGCACACATACTTATTTAAAACATACACATACATATTTATTAAGCTGAACATTATTAAGGCGTTAATGCATTTTCAGCCGAATTCGGATCTTCTTCGGCTCACGGTTGCGATATTTTTACTTAAATAATAGTTTAGTCAAAACCCTGGACTATAGTCCTAACCTATAAGCTAGGCCTATAGTCTAGACTGTAGTTTAGTCCATAGTGTGGACTTTAGTCTAGTCTAGTCTGTAGTCTGCACTATAGTGCAGTCTAGTCTGGACTATAGAGTAGTCTGTAGTCTGGACTATAGTCTAGTCTATAGTCTGGACTATAGTCTAGTCTATAGTCTGGACTATAGTCTAGTCTATAGTCGGGACTATAGTCTGGACTATAGTCTAGTCTATAGTGTGGACTATAGTCTAGTCTATAGTCTGGACTATAGTCTAGTCTATAGTCTGGACTATAGTGTAGTCTATAGTCTGGACTATAGTCTAGTCTATACTCTGGACTGTAGTCTAGTCTATAGTCTGGACTATAGTCTAGTCTATACTCTGGACTGTAGTCTAGTCTATAGTCTGGACTATAGTCTAGTCTATAGTCTGGACTATAGTCTAGTCTATAGTCTGGACTATAGTCTGGTCTATAGTCTGGACTATAGTCTAGTCTACAGTCTGGACTGTAGTCTGGAACATAGTCTCGTCTATAGTCTGGACTATAGTCTAGTCTATAGTCTGAACCAATATCTAGTCTATAGTCTGAATTATAGTCTAGTCTATAGTCTGGACTATAGTCTAGTCTATAGTCTGGACTATAGTTCAGTCTACAGTCTGGACTATAGTCCAGTCTATAGTCTGGACTATAGTCCAGTCTATAGTATGGACTATAGTCTAGTCTACAGTATGGACTATAGTCTAGTCTACAGTCTCGACTATAGTCTAGTCTATAGTCTAAACTATAGTCTAGTCAATAGTCTGGACTATAGTCTATTCTATAGTCTGGACTGTAGTCTAGTCTATAGTCTGGACTATAGTCTAGTCTATAGTCTGGACTATAGTCCAGTCTACAGTCTGGACTATAGTCCAGTCTATAGTCTGGACTATAGTCCAGTCTATAGTATGTACTATAGTCTAGTCTACAGTCTCGACTATAGTCTAGTCTATAGTCTAAACTATAGTCTAGTCAATAGTCTGGACTATAGTCTAGTCTATAGTCTGGACTATAGTCCAGTCTATAGTGTGGACTATAGTCTAATCTATGGTCTGGACTACAGACTAGACTATAGTCCAGACTATAGACTAGACTATAGTCCAGACTATAGTATAGTCTATAGTCCAGACTATAGACTAGACTATAGTCCAGTGTAGTCCAGTATAGTGTAGTCTATAGTCTGGACTATAGTCTAGTCTATAGTCTGCACTATAGTCTAGTCTATAGTCTGGACTAAAGTCTAGTCTGTAGTCTGGACTATAGTGTAGTCTATAACTTGCACTATAGTGTAGTCTATAGTCTGGTCTTTAGTGCAGTCTACAGTCTGGACTATAGTGTGGACTATAGTTTGGTATATAGTCTGGATTATAATCTACTATAGTCTAGACTATAGACTAGACTACAGTCCAGAGTATAGACTAGACTGTAGTCCAGACTATAGACTAGACTATAGTCCAGACTATAGACTATAGACTAGACTATAGTCCAGACTATAGACTAGACTATAGTCCAGACTATAGACTATAGACTAGACTAGACTATAGTCCAGACTATAGACTAGACTATAGTCCAGTCTATAGTCTGGACTATAGTCCAGTCTATAGTCTGGACTATAGTCCAGTCTATAGTCTGGACTATAGTCCAGTCTATAGTATGGACTATAGTCCAGTCTATAGTATGGACTATAGTCCAGTCTATAGTATGGACTATAGTCTAATCTACAGTCTGGACTATAGTCTAGTCTATAGTCTGGACTATAATCTAATCTATAGTCTGGACTACAGTCAAGTCTATAATCTGGACTATAGTCTAGTCTATAGTCTGGACTATAGTCTGGACTATAGTCTCGTTTATAGTCTAGACTAATAGCTAGTTTATAGTCTAGACTGTAGTCTAGTCTGTAGTCTGGGCTAATGTCTAGATTTTAGTTTAGCCTATAGTCAGGATTATAGTTTAGTCTATAATCTGGACAATCGTCTGGACTTTAGTCTAGTCTACAGTGTGGACTAGTCTATATTATGGACTATACTCTTATCTATAGTCTGGTCTTTTGTACAACACAAACCATCTCTGGCAGGTTGAAACCTTTACAATGCATTCACCATAAGCTTCGGAGAGTCATCTGTGAGCTTTGACGGCAATTTTTGCAAATCAAAGAGATACAGCAAAGTTTTGTTAAGGAAAATTTTCATGCAAAACATGTACCACCCTAATGTGTATAGTATCGTAAATAGGAGATGATTGTGTAAAAACGCATAAATTTTAAAAACAGTAATAACCATAGTTACAAGTACAAAATAAGTTATAAAGGTAAAACAGATATTGAAAAGAATCTAGTCCACATAGAGGAACTTTTCACAGCTTAGAAGAAAGGAAAAAGTTCAGGCAGGAAGTAATCGGTAGAGTTTATGAAAATTTGCCAAATTAGTAAGGTACACAAATAGTTGCGTTTAGAAATTTGGAAGATAGAGAACTTTGGTATTATCAGAATCCAGTTAGGTATAAAATTTATATAATTTTAGTTTTAGGTTAGTCTGAACATAAGCTTTTTTTGATCTCGATCAGTTGGCCTATAGTATTGATATTTCTTCAGCATGTTTATAATCTTTAAGACCCCTGCTTTTTAAAAACAATTTCGTCGGTACGTTTATCTGTACTATGCTCAATCTTCCAGCCCGGCCCTAAAACTACGTTGTGTAGGTGCGTAAGTTTGTTTTTATTTGTAAACAACACATACAAAGTTACACAAACACAACAGCAACACAACTACATCGTTGAGAGAGTATGACATGTATGTGGAAGTAATAACAAAATTCAATTTTCCTTGTTGTTTCCCCCAGCAACACCTCTTCGCCCACTACAAACTTTTACCACCCCCTGGGGTAGCCTAAATGGAGCCAAATCTTTCAGTTTAATATACATTTTCCTGTACAATATTGTTTTTAGTTTTTATGGTTCCTTTACAGTTACTTTTTTCTGCCATTTTTTGTTTTATTTTTTGCTCTTCTTTTGTAAATAATGATTGATGAGTTTTTCATTTTCCATATTGTGCGTGCAGGTGAGTGAAGATGGATGGTTGGTTGGTTGGTTGCTTGGATGAGAGTGGATTTGCTATAAGTAATTTGTAGGATGGGGAAACACATTTCGCAAACAAAATTTTTATTACACAAAATTGATTTTTAGGCTTTATAGAAATTAAATTAAAGACAGATTTTAAAAAGGTAAATTTATTATATTTTTGTTTATTTGCTTTTTTTACTTGTTCTTTTTAAGGAAAGGGGAGTTGAAATGATTGATGCTCTTATTAAAAAGTTATAAAAAAGGACTCATGTTAAAAGTTTTGAAATAATTGGGGATGAAATTAAGGCATATGTTATGAAAGTTAAAATGTTTGATAAAAGATTGAGGAAAATGTTTTAAATGTGATTTACCTACATATGGTTATAAATTAAAAGATCAATGGTTAGAGAAACCGAATAATCATTTAATAAAAATCTGGGAAAATTTTATATTGATGAAGAAATTTTTTCAATAATTGATGTTGTAAAAATTACAGATTTTTTTAGATTTTAATTAAAAAGAAATAAGTTTTCAATTTATAAAAAAATAGATTTATTCCAGTTCAGATCTAGTTTAGTTCTAGTTCAGTTCTAGTTCAGTTCTAGTTCAGTTCTAGTTCAGTTCTAGTTCAGTTCTAGTTCAGTTCTAGTTCAGTTCTAGTTCAGTTCTAGTTCAGTTCTAGTTCAGTTCTAGTTCAGTTCTAGTTCAGTTCTAGTTCAGTTCTAGTTCAGTTCTAGTTCAGTTCTAGTTCAGTTCTAGTTCAGTTCTAGTTCAGTTCTAGTTCAGTTCTAGTTCAGTTCTAGTTCAGTTCTAGTTCAGTTCTAGTTCAGTTCTAGTTCAGTTCTAGTTCAGTTCTAGTTCAGTTCGTTCAGTTCTAGTTCAGTTCTAGTTCAGTTCTAGTTCAGTTCTAGTTCAGTTCTAGTTCAGTTCTAGTTCAGTTCTAGTTCAGTTCTAGTTCAGTTCTAGTTCAGTTCTAGTTCAGTTCTAGTTCAGTTCTAGTTCAGTTCTAGTTCAGTTCTAGTTCAGTTCTAGTTCAGTTCTAGTTCAGTTCTAGTTCAGTTCTAGTTCAGTTCTAGTTCAGTTCTAGTTCAGTTCTAGTTCAGTTCTAGTTCAGTTCTAGTTCAGTTCTAGTTCAGTTCTAGTTCAGTTCTAGTTCAGTTCTAGTTCAGTTCTAGTTCAGTTCTAGTTCAGTTCTAGTTCAGTCTAGTTCAGTTCTAGTTCAGTTCTAGTTCAGTTCTAGTTCAGTTCTAGTTCAGTTCTAGTTCAGTTCTAGTTCAGTTCTAGTTCAGTTCTAGTTCAGTTAGTTCAGTTCTAGTTCAGTTCTA